TATTGATGTTGTTATTATTTATCACAAATAGTAGTAGCTAAGTTGGTTCATGAAATAGCTCATTGATAGTCCATTGGATAATTCTGAGTTGGAACTTCTATTATCTCATTTGACAGGTGGAGACACTGAAGCTCAGATGGCTGACATAGATTAGCCTAGGGCTAGTTGTAGTTACTTGCAGTGAGAATTTCCCAGTACCGGGGATTCTCATTCAGAGCAAGGCTAACCCCAGAGATGGTCCCTGAGGGCAAGTGGAAAATCTGAAGCCACAGGAGGCAGGTAGGAGACTAATGCATTTGGAAGAAGTTTATAACAAAAGGAACACTCACTTGCCTGGAATATCCACATATTCTCTGAAGACATTTTAGTCTTTGAGGTTCATGCCATTCTGTTTTAATTTTTTTGAGACAAAAAATGACCAATCTCTTATTTGCATATTCAAGCATTCTTAATAAGTCACTAAAACTCTTGTTTTTCATAACTCTCCTTTTATTAAAAAGATAATTTTCTGGTCCATCAGAATTGATCTTATAAAAGAATTTAACAATATATTCCCTTCCTAATTTAGCACCAGGAAAACTGGCAATTTTTATAATAGAAAGATAGCCTTACTTTGCTAACCAATTACAACCCAAGTTGAAAGTTTATCCCCAAAATCCGTTCCTCATAAAAATAACAATAATGATATTAACCAGGTACCACTGAAGTTGGTCCTCTTGTACCCATTTCTGTGAACAAGACACATGAACACTGGCTTGAGAGACAGTTGGTGAGCTCCACTTGAACCTTGGGGAAGAGAACAAAACATTCCACATTGACCTTAATGAGTTGTTCCTAAGTAGGCATGATGAAAATGTAAAACTGAACCCCAGATCTAGCCAACTGAAAGACACTGATTATTCTAGAACAGCATCTTCCAAACACCAGTCTGTGGACCAGTCACTGCTTGCCAAGACAAAGTTCTCACCAGCGTGAGGTAAAATGAGGAAAATAACAGCAATGTGTCTAAATTCATTCACCCTAAAGACTTCCTTTTATTCTGCAAGGTTGTCCTTCCTATTTCTTTGATTATTTCAGCATCTTTACTTCTATAAAAGGAAGTTGCCAACAGATGGTAGTTGTTCTCTTTAAACATTTCTACTTAGTCAAGTTAACATTTAACATACACCTATATTGGTCCTCCCACACCCATTTTACTTTTTTCTTATCTGTGAAAACTAGATGTTTGGAAACTACTGCTAGCCTAAGGGATAGCCTCTGCTATGCCAGACCCCTGGATTTTCCAAGGGTCCTGGCCTTTTCAAATGTAATATATTATAAAGGAACTATATTTTAATCAAACTCACATCTTTAACTTTTGTTTTGAACATGTGAAACACAACCTTTTCTGGATAACTCTATCATGATCAATAATCAGTGGCATTGGATTAGAATACAGCAAATCTGCTGGAGGGCAAATATCATAGGGCAGTTTTCCAGAACCGAAATCGCCCCCAGGCCACCATTCTTTTAGCACCATCATTTTTCTCTCCTTAAAAAAAAAAAAAGAAGAAGACCAGGCAATGTGGCTCATGCCTGTATCCGAGCACTTTGGGAGGCCAAGGCAGGAGGATTGCTTGAGGCCAGGAATTTGAGACCATCCTGGGCAACATAGTGAGACCTTATCTCTACCCCCCAAAAAAAAAAAAAAAAAAAACACATTAATAGAAAAGAAAAAACCTACTTTGGCGCCTTCCTTGTTGTCAAGTTGTGAATTAGCATCTTACGAAATGGCATAAGATGAGGCTTTTCTTATTTGCTGACTTCATTCTGCTTGGGCTTAGAGAATGGAGATTCTTGGGTATTACAACTGTGTGCAAAGTAGAAGTTTAAAAAGGACTGAGTAGTGGGGGGTGGGGAAGATCTAAATGAGCACAGGCAAGGATCATACAGTACCCCACCTGCACTCAGTGTAAAGCACAATGGTTACATGCATGGGCTGAGTGACAGCCTGGGGCAAGTTAAGTGTTTATCTGTAAAATAGAAGTAGTAAAAATGACAACCAAATAGGCATATAAGGATTAAATGAAATAAAGCATGTAAAGGGCTTAGTACAATACCTGGCCCACAATAGGCCCTCAGTGAAATAAATATTAACTACAATGATTACCTTATAGCCCTGTACATTTTCTTTGCTCACTTTCTGGTCCTTTTCTGTTATATTCTAGATAGGTGAGTTTACCACCTGAGACACATAGGTTATAGATACATGGGTGATATTGCATTTAAATTTTGACCATTCATTTGTTCATTTGGCAAAAAAGAAAAAAAAAAAGTACACGGCATGGAGAATGCTGTAATAAATGTTGTACTCCTACACTGCATGGAATATCCCATACTAAATGGTTTGGGGAAGGATCTAAAATCACAAAGAACATAACTCCAGGGAACTAACTGTCTGTTTGAGGAGACCCAGCCAACACACCAATGGCCTAGAACAGCATTGTAGCATAAGAGATAAAGTCAAGTGCAGAGGATCTTCCAGAAAGGGAAACATTTTGAGGTGAAATTTAATTAAATACCTTTTTTAGACAGTCCCTTGTTTGACCTGATTGTGAGATCATGAGCCCACCAGTGTAGGACATAAATTCCTCCTACCTTACCCATTGTGAGAGATGCTCTGTGAGGATTGTTTACTTTCTCTAAACACTTCTTCACACTATTGACCCCAAACTGAATTCTTTGCCTGAGTGGAACAGTAAGGACTTTATTTCTAATACAGAAAAGTGGTCTTATAGTTCACAGCAAAAATGAGAATTAGAACCTTGGGAACCCCAACCTTTGTTCTCTGTTTCACTTGGTCCCTATACCTTCCCTTGCTGTGCCCAGTGCTCTTGTGTCCCTGCACTGATACCCCTTCCTCTCCCACTTTGAGTCTTTCTACATACATTTCCTTAAAATGGAGAGGTAGAGGAGACAAGAGAAGGAAAGGTAACGAAACAGAGGTAGTGGCTATCTACTTACCCTAGCATTGAGCCTCTTTCAGGAAAAAATGTCCTTTGTGTGTTATTCAGGCACAAAGACCATTTTAGCTTGCTTTCTTCCTTTCTTCCTTCTTTCTGTCTCTCCCTCTCTCTCCTTTCTTTCTTTCTTTTGAGAGGGAGAGAGAGGAGAGAGGAAGAGAGAGAGAGAGAGGGAGACAGAGAGAGAGGAGTACCGGCCCATAAAGGTATCTAAAAGACTAAAGAGTGCATTTCTGGGATCTGTTAACAGAAATTGTTTTCCCAGCTTGAAAATTGCCACATTTAAAATCCCAATGTGGGGTAAGCGAAATCATAAATATGAACTTCTTTTCAGACAGCAAACCAGCATTTGGAGTCTCTCTCCTTGCCTTCAGGGATCCATATGCCACAGTCTAGTTAGCTGCCCAGCGACTGACAAGCATAAATAAAAGGTAATGGTTATAGTAAACAGAGTTGCTGTGAGTCAAAAGTGTTTCCCAGGGAGGGATCAACATTCTTCTGATCACACTAGAGTCACCAAATAGCCAAGGTTCAGCTCTTTTAAAAACAAACAAATAACGAAGACAATGAAAATAAAAATGTTTGCCGTGTCAACTGTCTACATTCAGCAGTGGAATGGAACAGGCACCTGGGGTTCATAAGTGTAAGAGGGTCAAGCCACGGGGAGCAGTCTGAGTTTTATGGCTTATTTGCCTTCTATCAGTGCTCCTTGCCACCTACCATTGAGGACTTCCTCCTTCATCCCATTACTGCCTCATGATGGTCTGTGAACCCATCTCACCTAAGTTAAGTAAACATTGACCTCAACTTAAGGTGATACCATC